TGTCCGCCGATGTTGCAGCGTCCTTGACCTATAATAAAATTGTTTGGAATGCAATGTGTCCAATTGTCCATTTATCCAATACTGTGAGAGTGATGACTGAGATGTTAATCACCATGGTAAGCGTAAAATCATGATTTGACGTTTCAAAAATGCCTAATTAAGGGTTCTTCTTTTTCTTTAGCCTTTTTCTACCCTTAGGGTGTAGACCTCCTTCAGTGTCTGCCATCTCTTTCTGCCTTGAGCAATTTCTGTCCATTTCGTGCCAGCTGTTCGTTTGATGTCATCGAACCAACGCATCTGGAGTCTACCTTGTGGGCATTTTTCGCTCCACGGTCTCCTCTATCACGGCTTTGCACCACGAACCCTGTTCGCCTGCAACGTGACCAGCCCACTCCCACTTAAGTTTCGCGATATGCTGTGTGACGTCCTTAACTTTATTTTGACGAGTAATTAATACTTTAGCAGAGTAATTGACTTTGAAGATAAGAAGGGCTCACTAAAAATAATGCGACGTGTTTTTGTGACTCGAAACTACATTACTACGAACTAATTTCGAGTCCCAAAGAGATGTTACTTAAAATCTCTACAGCTTCCCTCAGTATATGTACATACGTACTCACTACTACACAGTTATTATAAAAATATAAGTAGAATTCGGCAAGGCTGGACGTTGTACATACCACTCACTTTTCGCCATTTGTATTATGACTATGAGTTCCATGTCATAGTGACTATTAGTGACCCAGTTGCCATACATCCTAAAACTGAGGCGTACACAAATAGAAAACCTAAAAAATCTTATACTTAATCAAGCTAGGGATCGAATTTAAAACACCTAACTCGACTGTAACATTTTCACTACTCAACTAACGAGGCAATTATAACACAATAAATTATTACAATTAAAATCCCTTGCCTGACTGTCGCGGTATTTAAAAATGAACCATTCTCTACCATAAACCATGTTGGTACACAAACTGTGACACAGCACGCGACACTCGATGCTATCGATTGTGATCGACATGTAGCTCGGAGTGATTTACTATTGATGCGCCGGCGCATGCGGGCGGATGCAGTCGTGTACAATATGTAGGACATGTTAGAAGGTGCACGCAATTTGTCGTGTTTGTTTATAGTGGGTCAAACGAGTAATGTTAATGATTTGTAATAAAATGATAAAAGTTAATGATTATCAGGTCAGCTCGTCTCCGTCGCCTAATGGACATTGATTTGTTTAAAAAAAAAGTAAAAAGACTATTCATTTATTTTTATTAGACCAATAGAAGGCACTTTAATTTAACGTTTGCGCTTTCAAAACACTCCACCGATTTCACCCTTTTTTAACTCACGCCATTTTTAGGTAGTACACAGAGACACAACACTTTTTCTACGTGTATAATGAAAATTTATAAAAATGCGTCTGAAAATATGTGTATATTAAAGATTCATTAAGTGTGGGAGAGCCATGCTTTGGCACTGCTGGGCCGGCTCTACCGGAGTGATACCACGGCCGAGCAGAACACCGACAACGTGATACAACGCAAGCGTTGTTTCACGTCGTGTAAGTGAGGTTACCGGATGCCCAATTACCCCCTTCCCAAATCTCCCCAATTTCCGAATCCAATAATCCTTAAATTCCTAATCCCCAAAAGGCCGACGCACTTGTAACTCGATGATTTATCACTTCATTTATTTAATATTTTTAACCAGAGTACTTTTTCGAATTAAATTATTTCAACTTCATTGTGTAGTGGATTTACTGTCTATATATCTGTATAGTGTATTCGGAGACAAATACGTTCGTCTCGGTGTGGGGTACTGGGTCAACAGATGGTACACAGATAATAGTTATAGAGCTGTGGGGGCGCACGATGACACGGGGATGTAGACTCGTATAGTAATCCTTCTTTAGGATCTCAGGGTGATAAAGTATGGGGACTGAGGATTTCGCACAATTCCGTGCTTAGATTATTGAGAATTTTCGAAATCATTTTCTCAATAATACTTTACCCGACTCAGGAATCGAACCTGACATTATTTATTCCTCAATCGAGGGGGCTATCACTTGTTTTTATTTTATTTAGTTTATGTAAGGTTTGTTTTTTTTTTCGTTTATCTGTAATAGTTTGGATTACTTTTTAGTTAGTATAAGTCTAATATGGTGTAAGTAGTCGCTAGATTTTATAATACCTTGTTATCGCATGGGGTCCTAAACCTGTAATGTTAACTTGTGTGTGTAATAAATAAATAAACAAATTTACAAAATACTAACAAAATTAATTGCTTATGGGCAGGCGTGCTCTATCGTATGTGGATACCTTCTGAAGGATGCGCCGCTGACGTGTGCGTTCCGCACGCTCAACCTCATAGCGAGTGAGACGGACTTATTCTACTGTTCTCTGAGTGAATTCACAAGGAATGCTTTGTTTGTAATTAGTTATAAGCAATAAGTCAGGAATAAATAGTTCGCATTTATCGCATTGGGTCATCCTGTAATGGTAAATGTAAGTAAGTAAATAAATAAATAAATAAAATAAAAAAATAATAAAAAAATGTGAGATAGTGGTCAAACTATGCCTATTACCAATAAAAAATTAAGTAATGATAATATTGCGTCATAATTCTTTTATAAACTACTTTTAACTCGTCGAGTACCGTCATTATAGACACAATTATAGAACAATAGGTTGCGGTCACCGGTGACCGCTTGGTGTTTGACAGTTTAATAAAACCGACTTCAACCCCCTGTTGAGGTCGGCTTATTAATATACATAATATACTAAAATCTTCTCCTAAGTGTAACAAACTTAGGAGGTCTTCGGAGTCGCGGAGAACCTAACGGGTTACCTTACCGGGGCCCCGGCTCGAAGTGCAGGAGTAGGAACGGGGTGGTTTCTGACACTCCCTCCCACCTCACCCAGGCGGGAGAAATCATTCGATGATTTTCCCCCCTTAAAAAGAATGTAACGAACATTTTTCTGAAAACCGCATCACAATCGGTTCAGCCAATCGCGAGATAATCGCGCACAAACATACAAACATACATGCATATAGGTCAAACAAAACCTCCTTATTTGAAGTCGGCTAATAATTAATATCATAATAGCGTTACACAATGACATTGCATTGCAGCCATCACACTGACCACGCAATGCACGGTATGACGGTATTATCGTCCTCGCGCCATTACTGTAATTAGTATTGGCAGCTCGCGCTTATCTCATCTGTACATTTGAGATCCTATCTAAACCAATAATCACCTGTAGAGCTTACATACACACACATACATACATAACTACATATTTATGTTTGTGTGTGTCTGTATTGTGCTGTCGTAGGGGATGACAAAAAGTAGGTACCAATGTGACTTATTCCGAGTTATATGTACTTTCTAAGATTATTCAGACACCACTGACAAACGGTGAAGGAAAACATCGTGAGGAAACCTGGCCTTATAATTTCTAATTGTAAGTTTGAAATCGCCAACCCGCGTTGAGCATGCGTTGTGTTTAATGCTAACCTTCTTCGTGTGAGAAGAGGTCTTTGGCCAGCAGTGGACACATATAGGCTTTTTTTAGGGACAAGCCCGCAACAACCTCCCAAAACCGCTGCAACTCCTGTAAGCCAGGATCTACAGTAGATACATACAACCATGAAAACACCGGAACATTGAAGTCCGTCGCATCGCAGGGACATTAACAACTGTCTTGGTTCCCGCAACGAAGTGAATCAGAAAATATTATAAGAGTGGCCACTTATAGGCTGTTGATGATGATGATGTGTGTTGTGGTTGTCGTGGTGTGCGGGCTGCGGTCACATTACACGTGGGTCACTCGAGTGGTGAAGGTCCCTGCTGTACACATACATACAAAATGTACGTGTGTACAAGTTTCTTCTAAGTTTGGGTGCCTATTACTTGGTTTATAGCTCGGCCTCCATAAAATGGTAGTGGCATAGTGGTAGTATATTTTTTATAGAAAACATCTACCGACACGTTCTTATACCGCGTCGTAAGTGCGTTCACAAACATTTTCACGGCCATACGCCATATTTAGACTTCAAACATTAATTTTTGGATCACACGACGCGCCGTTCCGTAAATCATAGTTTCAACACTTCATACAGTCTGTTTCGATAACAAATACTGTTGCAATAAATTATTTCAAGTGTGGGAGAGCCATGCTTCGGCACAAATGGGCCGGCAGCCGGCTTGACCAGAGTGATACCACGGCCGAGCAGAAAACCATTGTGAAACAACACTTTTTTTGTGTTTCCTTGTAAGAGTGAGGTTACCGGAGGCCCAATTATATCCCCTCTCCAATGTTCCCAATCCCCGAATCCCCAGTAATCCTCAGGATCCAATCTAGCCTCCAAAAGGCCGGTAACGCACTTATGACACCTTTGGTATTTCGGGGTCTATGGACGGCGCCGATTGCTTACCTTCAGGTGATCCATCTACTCGTTTACTGGTTTATCCCATAAACAAAAACAATCAACATTTCTTTGTAATATTCTTGCGAGGAACACATGTGCTGTTGTTATGGTTGGTCTACAAGGACGTCTCAGAAGGGCGCGGTTATTTATTGTTGTTTAACATGCTTATATTAACACATTCTTGAGTATGACGTCACAGTGCACGGCTCCTGGCCAATAAACAATATACGACGAGAGCTAGCTTCTGATATTTATACGCAGATGTGCACAATACAGATGTGATCATGTGTGCGCACACAGTCTGCGAATATAATACTTTTTCAATAGTACGAGTAGGTACATTTTAAACCTTATTTATTGCTAAAATTTTCTTCTTCTTCCATGTAACTGTTTGACGAGGAACTCGACTAGTTTCAAGCCATGCTAGAGACTTATATTCATGAGCAGCATTCCGCGACTACGACACAGCGATAATAATAATATGTTTCACGAAAGTTAAAATATAAATATAGTTTAAAATGTTGTAAGTAAGTGTGATATCTAATGCATGTCGTGATTGCTTCCAGGCGGCGAGGACGCGCTGGACCCGGGCGTGCAGTTCAGCGTGGAGCCGGGCGACGCGGTGGTGTCGCCGGGTGAGGCCACACTGCTGGCGTGCTCGGCCGCCTCCAGCCGAGCGCTGCGTCTGCACTGGAGACACAGCGCCACCGCGCCGCCTACACGGGACCATGCCATCTCTGATAGCGATAAATATAGGTCTGTACTGTTACACACTTTACTATACTCTATCATCTCTTTCTATAGACAGTCCTCCTCATCCCCAAACCCCTAAAAAGCTTGTAATTCCTCTTCTCGAGCGGCGATTGCTTGCCATCAGGTGGTCCGACTGCTCGTTCGCTGCACTATCTCATAAAATATATATTTTGGAACAATCACAATGTCATAATGTTACAAAGAATATCCGATAGATGGCGTAGACATAAAATTTGATCACCTCCGTGTAACGCAATCTCTACTAATCTCTTCTCGTTGCGTAGGAAGCAGTTGTCGAACGGTTCGCTGTGGATATCGGAGATGTCAGCGCCACTGGCGGGGCACTACCAGTGCGTGGCCAGCGCCGACGGGGTCGGCACCATACTGTCCAGGGTGGCCGTCGTATTCCTAGCGGGTGAGTGGATAGTCTACAGTCTACACCATAAGGAGTTACTGTCTCATTGATCTATTAGTAATAAAATAAATTATTATAAGCTCCAGTGCAGCCTGAAACTAATCGGGCATACTCGAACGGTTTCGAGCGTAATAATTTTTATTTAGTAAATGACAGTTTGTATTGCTTTTATGTACGTTTTATGTCAACCAACCAACTCGTGTATGTGTACAGAAGTACCAGAGGTAGTAGGCGGTCCGCGGTCGGTGCTGGGCGCGGCGGGGGGCGCGGCGCTCCTGCCGTGCGGGGTGCGCGCCCCCGCGCGGCTGGCGCTGCGCCTGCTGGCCGCGCCCCCCGACCGCCGCGTGTACGGCGCCGCCAGGCTGCACGCCGCGCCGCCCGTACTCAACCTCAACGTAAGTACTACCACAACCAGCACTATCATTATTAATGGAGTTGATGTCAAATTGAAGCCATTAGACAAACTCTTCCTGTGATTTAGAGACTGTCCGACGCTATTATTTCGCCGCGAGGTTGTTTTTCGTAATAACAAATCTAATCTTAAGGAAATACAAACAGCACGTTCATCTATTACAATCTGCTTAATATCTGCAAAAGATTATCGACCTTATTATCACTCAGCAACAAAGTTCAAAATCAACTAAAGAGACTCAGATTGTAGTAGGTTAACCTGCATTTTGTACATTATCTCATCAGTACATTTTGGACCTTATCACAAAGCAATAAAGTTCAAAATCAACTAAAGAGTAAAATAGATTAGGCTACATTTTAACATTATCTCATCAATATCGACCTTATCACAAGCCACTAAAGCAGAATATCTTTGTCGTCCATACAGGTGACCTGGCTAAAGAACGGGTCTCCAGTTCGCCTGGAGAGCTCGCGCATGTCTCTGACTCCGAGCGGCGCGCTGGAGCTGGAGCCGCTGCGGCACCACGACGCGGGCAGATACTCCTGCAGGGTCGCGCTGGCCAATGCACCGCACATATACAAGTGAGGGGACGTGTTTACACACTACTGCTGCTTTCACCAGCTCTGTATTGCAATTGATCCTTAATTACGCACTTTTGTCCGTCCGTCTGTCTGTCAGCGAAGTTAGCCAAGTGTTGCAAGCGTACATAGGCCACAGTAACCATTTACCGTCAGTTGAGCTGTGTACTTCTCTTGCTACCGTCGTGGTATATAAAACCAACGGTGAACCAACAACCTTGATGTCTGGTTCCAGGACGAGCGAGGAGACGGAGCTGCGTGTGAGTGCGGAGACTCCCAACGTCGAGTTCCCGCCGAGGTTCATCGCCACGCCGCAACCTGTCACCGTCATGGAAGGTCACTTATTATACACTACTATTATTATTATTATTATTCTACTATCTTCTGCCCGCGACTTCGTGCGCGGAGTCCGGTTTTCTCCCGTTACCGTAGGATTTTCAGGATTTTTTGACAATAACAAACACAACAAAATAAAAGATCAGCCAAATTGGTCTAACATGGATTTCATTTTTATATGTATAGATAGATATTGGACAACTCACTGATCCATGTGGTGACGGCAAAATAAAATATATATTTGGCACCACCTCTGGGGAATATATAGCAGCGACTGGGACAGCAGAGATGTCTAATATAGCGGATCCGTTAAAACTGCGACCTCGGATCCGTTTGTCATAGTCCACGGAGGATTTTAATGGGTCATTGTTAATGAAATACTTTTAAATATTTGGTGATGTAACTCCTATTTTCAAATCATCTACCCAGAGCAAGGAGTATGGCAGCACTCTTTACTTTGTTCAGCAGTCGTCGTCTCTTGGTCAGTAATGATGATGATGAATATGTTACAGGCGCGTCGGTGACGTTCGACTGCGCGGCGGTGGGGAACCCCAAGCCGGAGATCACGTGGCTCAACAACGGAGCGGCCATTGACCTCAGGTATCTATTGTTGCTGAACTATTTCGATTTTCGATTTCTGATTTGGCTGTGTAATGATAACCGCGACTATACGGTTGGCGCGGTGGCTGGGCAACTGGTTGCTGCGTATCGTGTCACGGGTTCGATTCCCGTACGGAACAACTCTTTGTGTGATCTACAGGTGGTTGTTTCGGGTCTGGGTGTGATGTGTATGTGAACTTGTATGTTTGTAAATGCACGCGGGGCAACGTTGTGTAAAGAAAAAAAATATTTACAAAGAATAAAGTAAAATAGGAGAAATGTAGAAGTCTGTTTTGTGGTTCTTCTAGAGAAAGAATTACAGTTAAATGGATTCTTTTCAGCTGCTATAATTTTGTTTACTCGTACCAAATACAATTTTCTGGTGTATGGATGACTTAGCCGCAGTGTTAGCATAATTTGGTTGGTCTCGAGGACAGTTCTTTTATGACCGTAGTAATTACTAGAGAAGTAACGAAGTGTCCGTGTCCAGCGACCTGGACTCGCGCTTCTACCTGGTGGGGTCGGGGTCGCTGCGCGTGCAGACGGCGCGCGCGCTGGACGCGGGCGCCTACACGTGCCGCGCGCACTCGCGCCTCGACTCGGCCGACAGCTCGGCGCAGCTGCACGTGCTGGCGCCGCCGCGGGCCGCCGTGCGGCCGGCCGCGCGGGGTGCGGCCGGCCGCGCGGGCGGCGCGCGCGCGCGGTGACGTCACGCTGCGCTGCGACGTGCGCGGCCGCCCGCCGCCCGCCGTGCTCTGGCTCAAGGACGGGGACCCGCTCACTCCCAATAACCACGACATCGCGCTTGTTGATGGGTATGCTACACTGATATTATCTCCTGTTGACAGTTACGTCTTACCAATATTAATAGACAATTAACATTTTGTAAGCAAATCCGTTAAATGTTTTAAATAAAAAATTTAAAGAATAGAACCTTTAAATAGAATAGAACAGCGGCGTTAAGACGCCGCTGTTCTATGTTAAACTGATCATACGTATAAGTCCTTGATTGTACGTTGTCGTTGTACAGGTTGTTACAGAACGAATGTAAGATCTTTACATAGACTAGGTGCTATTAACGCCATAAAAAAGACCAATGTATTATTTGAACACTATTGTAAAAGAAACGATCCATGTCCTCTGAAGTACCCACCCCCGTGTCGGCAGGTCGTCGCTGCGCATCCAGGGCGTGCTCCGCGTGGACGCGGGCATGTTCCAGTGCGCGGCCTCGTCCCGCGCCGGCTCCGCGCTCGCCGCCGTCCGCCTACTGGTGCTGCCGCCCGACGACGGTAACTTTACCTACTCACTAACTGCGACATCTATCGGTTGTTGGAAAAAAATAACCATTTGACCTTGTTTCGAATTAATTTGTATTTTTTTTTTTTTAATCCGTCCCTGTATTGTCGTATAATTAGATTTGTGTGTATATTCCCATCCTGTTGCCTGGTGATATTATGTTCAGTTTTTTTTTATTTTAATTTCGTTTTATTTATTTTTCCCCCGCCCCCTAACCGTACCTTACAGAGATGCGCAACATAACAGTAGAGGTACCGAGCACTCCCAACGACGCACTCCCGACCCTCACAGCATCCACACAAGTACCCGAGGACGAGGACTTTTTGGGAGAAACCTCATCAGCATACACAGCGCCGCCACTGGAGTACTCGGAACTGGATGAGTACGACGATAGTGACGTCACTGACGATGACGATTCGTTTCATGCTGCGCAAGGCCTGGACCTGGAGCAGCTGCGAGCTGGCAACAGCTCGGGCGCGGCGCCGCGGGAGCTGCGCGCCGTCATAGTGAAGCATCGCTTCGTCACGCTGAGCTGGCAACCGCCGCAACCCGACGACGACGTCACCGGGTACGCCGTGCTCTACAAGGTCAAGGGCAGCGACAGGTCAGTCCCAGCCACCGGCCGACCCTTGTGTGCGTCTACAAGTGTCTCATAATCCTATTACCGAACATTCTGCTAATATGTTTCCACCACAAACTAAAGTCGCCGCAATTTTTTTTTATAAACTATGTATTTTTGCCATTTTGGAGAGGCCCATGTAATTCTGTTACATTATGTGTTGAAACCAAAAAATGTATCATAATATAATATACTGTAGCGTGGGAAATTAAATCATATTATGAGAGTTCATTTCAAGGGAAAAGTTGTAACTCGTTCTCGGCACTGTGATGTTGTATGTATGTATGTCCGTCCGTGCAGAGAGCGCGTGTGGCGCGGGGCGGCGGGGCGGCACGAGATGAACGTGGCGGCCCTGCAGCCCAACACCACGTACTCCTTCGCCGTCCTGGCCTACACCGCGCGGGGCACCTCGCCGCTCTCCGACGTACGTATACTGGACCACTCCCTGGGCCCCACGTACACACAATACTAGGACTCGATACTAATCCCACTTGTGATTATTGCAGATGAAGAAATATTGGATTGTCTATGTCGACACCTTCGCTATTGAGCTATCGTGTATTATCCATAATCAATTTGAATTCTTGAAACCCTACCCTTTAATATGTAAAAGGAACTAACTATAATTTTAATCAAGTTTTATCTTATTAAAATTATTAATTGTAAAATTATATTTTAGTTCCATTTGTGTCCATATACAAGTTGTCTAGAATCTAACAATAATAAATCAAATAATATTATTTCTGTTACGTCACACAGACGATAGAAGTGGTAACAGCAGAGGAGGAAGTATCCCACGGGCCCCCGGTGGACTTACGAGCGGAGGCGACAGGGCCGCACTCACTGCGTGTGTCGTGGGGCCCGCCCATAGGAGCCCCGCCACCTACCAAGTACTCCGTGCATTATACAGAAGTAAGTACCCAATTTTAGCTTATAAAAAATGCGTAATACTTTTTCTATAGATTTCTAGATTTAGATTTTCTTCGCGTTAATTCACATGGATTCTCTTAAGCTGCTCCCGGTCCTAAAGAAATATCGAAATAAACAAGTGGTTCATTATATAACACCTTAGAAAGTAAACTTACTACATAACATTTGTCCTACAAATTTTAAAACTAGTCCAGGCGAACAAAAACATCTGTTGTCTCGATGATATTATTACCTCTATAGGCAGATGTTAATGTGTTTTGTACATTGTCAGGAGGAGAGTGGTCGCGAGCAGTTAGAGTGGGTGGAGGCGGGCGCGGGGCGCGGCGTGACGCAGGCCGTGACACTGGGCGCGCTGCGGGCCGCCGCCGCC